CGACTGCACTGCAGCCTGGGGGACACAGTGAGACTGTCTCAAAAAAAAAAAAAAAAGAGTGAATCTTTGTGATTATCCTGGAGGGAATATGCAGAGAGAACTTGGAGAACCAGTTCCATGGGCTGTCGATTAACCTGACAGAAAGGACATCCTGTTCTTGATAACTCAATAATTTATTTGTATTAGCATGTCACTTTCTCCAACTCTATTTTTAGAGTTGGTTCGGGCTGCCATAATAAAATTCCATAGACTGGGTGGCTTAAACAAGAGACATTTATTTCCCACAGTTCTGGGAGCAAGGAAAGCCCTGGCAGGTTTCGTGTCTGATGAGGGGCCATTTCCTGGTTCATAGATGGCACCATATAGCTGTGTCCTCACATGGTGGAAGGGGAAAAGCAGCTCTCTGGGGTCTCTTTTACAAGGGCACTAATCCCATTCATGAGGGCTCCACCCTCATGATCTAATCACCTGCCAGGGCCCTACCTCCTAATAACTATTGCCCCGGGGTCAGGATTGCAGCATTTGAACTTTGGGGTAGGGGGCAGGGAATGGGACACAAACATTCAGACTGTACTATCAGTTTTCTGATTTGAAAAACTGGCATAATGACATCTATATATCTACATGGATGAATTTAGCAGGGTCTTAAAAAGATTCTTCACACATTAGAAAATGTTAAGACTTGTTGCTAATTTTTTTTTTTTTAAGGATGACCGTTATTGGAGATTTGGCGGGGAGTGGTCAGTTATTTTAGAAAGGGCTCAAATGGTGATAGCCATTACCCACTGTCTTCAAAACCTGAATGATCAAAATAGTATACATGAAAAGATTTCAGGAATTCATAAGTTTTCTGGTTTTCCTTGATGGCCCTTTCCAGTCACCTACCCTACATATGAAAATGAGAGCCTATTTCTGTTTTCAGATTGCAGAGGGAATGGCGTACATCGAGCGGAAGAACTACATTCACCGGGACCTGCGAGCAGCTAATGTCCTGGTCTCCGAGTCACTCATGTGCAAAATTGCAGATTTTGGCCTTGCTAGAGTAATTGAAGATAATGAGTACACAGCAAGGGAAGGTATGTTCCAGTAACGATCTTTAGATGTTTTATTATTGTGTTTTATTTTGTTTTTTTCTGTTTTTGACAAAGCAATTGCAATAGTCATCATTAAGAAAAACTTATTTGGTACAACATTTAAGCTGTACCATAATTGTCTGCTTACGGTTCTATTCTAATAGTTTCTAGAAAGTACTCTCTTGATTAACTCCACATGATACTTTTGTTAGGCTTACAAATGCTATCAGTTGTATTTCAATTAAGCAATACAAAACACAAATAGATTCAGCAAGATCAAGATTCTTGTTTATTTTACATTGTTAAAGTTTTCACTCAAACAATGAATATATGGGGCTGTGGAGGAAATATTTGTAACATTAATTCTATGTTCTTTATTCCAGCCTTTTAATTACAAATTAAAACATGAACATTATCATACACACAGAACTAAATATAATGCAAAAAATCTACTTCTTTATTTTCCTACATTCTGTATTATATATGGGAATCAAAAATGCACAGAGAGGCCTAAGTTCCCCAGCTTGTGGCACACTGTCCGGGAGCCGAGCACGGTCGGGACTGCACAGGCCTTTCTTGGGCTAGGATTGCCTGTGCGGTTATGACTGAGGATTCTTATGCTCTCACCCATGAGAGCTGAGCCAATATTTTTGCAGTGCTCACTCTCTTCTGGAAGAAACAAGCACTTTCTTGAAATTCCTGAGCATTGCTGAGCAAGGATTATTATTATTTTATTTTATTTTTTTGAGACGGAGTTTTGCTCTTGTTGCCCAGGCTGGAGTGCAATGGCGTGATCTCGGCTCACTGCAACCTCTGCATCCTGGGTTC